TCAGTGTTACTCAAGGGTCCCACATCTGCATACTGCAAATGCATTGAAGTTGCATAACAAAGAATATTTCATTATTATATGTGGTATACTTCTGCGAAAAAAACCCCTGAAATTCGTACATTGATGGCATATGATAATGGTACAGAATTATTACATGAAAATGAAGCAATTAGTACCTTACATATAACTCTATTGTAATTAAAGTTTCCTGGGGTAAATGTGTATATTTCTTCCTTCCACATTTGATTTTACTCAGTTGAAAGACTTGTTCCATGATACTCAGGTGACCTATAAGGCCCGTGGGCCTCTTGTTACATTATACATGTGTTTGCTATTGACAGTTGGCATTGGTCTTGGCCGCAGTGTTTTCCGTCATTCTTTACCGTATTGTGATGTCAGCCATTTTGTACGGTAACAAGGAGGACATCATCAAAACTCGGGCCAGCTTCATCTCCTCCATCACCGCGGCCTGTATTAACTTAGTCATCATCATCATCCTCAACTTTGTAAGTTATAACTACAATAATAGCTACTTAACTGTACAATACATACGATAAAATATAACACAGTCTGTATTAACTTAGTCATTATCATCATCCTCAAATTTGAAAGTTATGGCTATACAATCATAACTATTTTATAATACACAATATTCTACATTATATCATAGGATGTATCAATTTGGTTTTCATCATACTTAATTTTATAAAATCTAAATATTCTATGCATTGAACTTTGTAAAATCAGATTACACATGTACATACCGTATAACTGGATTTTTCTACGGGGTGCTATTTTTTGCGAAATACTGCGATCAAGTCATAATCGCAAAAAATTCAATCGCAAAAAATACGTAAATAAAATCAGGAATTTTCAGTTGCGATCATCGAAGTTCTACTTTTACAGATACCGGAAGTATATGTAAATAATGCCCATTTTCAATTGTATTTTACAGGTAATTTACTTGATATCAACAATAATGATTGTTTTTCGAATAAATAAAACGAATTCCTAAAGATTCAATATTTATTTGTTCCTACATTGTATTTCATGATTTATTTATATGAAACCCGAATAGCACTATTGTCGGTTTGGCTATTCCACGGCTTGATCGGGTCCTTCTGGCTTCTCCAGTGTTTACCAATTCTAAATCGGTTTTCTGTCCTTGAGAAAATAATTTCTTGTGTAGTATTTCTTATACTGGGATTATATAAACTCTTTATAATCAGAAATGAAAGTTCATAGTCTGTGGGAACTTACTGAAACGAACTTCTTTAAATTAATCTCAAAGAATTATCGTCTCGGTTTCAATTCAAAATAATTGTGACTTTGTTTCTAATTTACCCTGTGAATAATAACCCATTAATTATAACAACACACGGACGACCCACAGGTATAGTGTCATCTATGTAAACACCCAATTAACAGCCCAAGGCCTTCACTCTTTCCAGGTAAGTCCAGACTGCATCTGTTTTACGCGTGATTGGCGTGTATACAAGCGCAATCAAAACTTCGAGAGATAGAGAGTAAATTTCAGTCTAGTAATAAAATTCAATCAAAATAGACTTTTTGTCAAAGTGAAATCGCAAAAATTAAAATCGCAAAAAATAAATATACCTATTTCAGGATCAAATCGCAAAAAAATAAAATCCAGTTATACGGTATGTATTAGCTATACATGTATGTGTGTCACCAATCATATTTTGCATGGAAACTCATTTGTATTTTTACTTGAGTTTCCATTGGATAAAAGTTGAGTTATTGAGAGTAAATGTATTAAGTTATGATATATATGAAATATTCATTTTCTCTTTTTATAATCTTAAATTGTGTTTACAAATCAAACACGTCATGTTAATGAAGTAGGAAATGTTCCAAGATTGATTGAAAAGATTTTTAAAATCTTGGAGTTAAAAATATTTCAAACAGATTGAGATTTTTATATGTGAATGTACTTTAATATAATAAAAAGGGTTATTGTGTGTGAAAGTGTAATTTCAATGTTAAATATCTTGTAGTTCTATCAAAAAGTGGCGTATTTCCTCACAGAATTAGGTGAGTTGTGTCTTATTTCACAAATGTATTTCTCTGCTAGTATATACAACAATGTATTGTCTTGTCTGGATGTACAAATAAAAAATTATTAATAATATGTAGAATATATTATTTGTTCATTCATGAGAAATCTTAATTAATGTTATTTGTATAGTTTGCATGCTATATTGCTGATGAGAAGATTTTAAGGTGAATATGTATACATTATAAACTCATCACATAATCTATCCCAACACAGAGATGTGATGTACGTCACCATGTTCTTGCCTGGTTTAGGAATTTATTTAAAATTGAAGTTAGTAGATTTATAATTATTTTGTTCATGTCACTTTTTTGATGATATTAAATTTAAAATAACTGAATTCAGGATATATTTTAACTGTGTATTTTTCACAATTTTTTGTTTAAACATGCATGATGCACAATTTTGTGGATTCTTAAGTTATTGATGAAAAAATTTTTGATTGAGCTGGGAATTTTAAAAAATTGTATTTTGATTGAGCTTAGAATAAAAAAAAAATTTTTTTTGTTGAAGCATGATTTACAATTTTAAATTTTATATTGTTAAGTTAACTTTTTTTTCAGAGAGTTTCAAAAAAAGAAAAATGAAAATTTAATTTTGAATTTTGATGAAATTTTATGAGTTGTATTATTAAATTCAATTTTGCTCTTTGATCTAGCTTTAAGCATATCTTTAAAACTTAAAGTAAATGTTTTAGACCTGTGGATTTTTTAATGAATTTAGAAATTAAACTTTTCGTCACACACACAGCAATTTAGCAATCTAATTATTTTATATTTAACCCCTTTGAATTGGTGGTTTATCTTAATTATGAAAACAATTCAAATTTTTTTTATAATTACCCCCCTCTCTTTCAGAGCAACACAGGACCCTGACAGAGTGGGAGGATGCCTTCACCTTCAAAATGTTCCTCTTCCAATTTGTCAACTTCTACTCTTCCATATTTTACATTGCCTTCTTCAAAGGAAAGTAAGTCTGTAGAATGTTTTGTTTGTATGTTGTTTAATGTCACTTTTGAGAATTTTTCACTCATTTTATGGAGACGCTACCACTTGCTGCTGGAGAGGTGCAAATTTTGTTGTATACTCAGTGCTTGCAGCCATTGAGCAGGGAGGGTTCTTTTTCGTGCTACAGTAGCACCTACTGCGACACAGGACCTCGGTTTATAATTATGGTCTCATCCAAAGAACCGGTCTCCATGTCTCACATTGGGAATTTGTATAATGTTATCAGCTGTAAAATTCTTATCAGTTCTTGAGTAAAAGATCACCACTTTGATTTTGAAACATTGATAAACTATATTTAAATCTATTTTATTTTTGGTTGATAGATTTGTGGGAAGGCCTGGAGATTATAATCGCAGTTTGATAAACAGTAGACAAGAGGAGGTAACTCATATAGCTCTGTCCTGTATTCTGCCTTATTGAAATAATAAATAATTTGTTGTATATTTCATGTATGATGAACTGAAATTTGTTTCACTTGTAAATTGAGCAAGTGTTAAAGAATGTGCACATAAAAGAAAGTAAACTGCCCCAATTCAGATAATTTGAAATACAATTCAATCTTAAGAAATTTCTACTTGTTTCCTCAATTTAATGCTTTGTTCACATGGAGAGTTTAATTCAGATTAAACACAAGTTACTCCAAATTATCAGTGTACCTTTGTTTTCATTCTGAATTCTCATATAACTTTTGTTTTTCAGTGTGACCCCTCAGGTTGCCTGATTGAGCTCTGTATACAGCTGGGCATCGTCATGGTGGGAAAACAAATCATTAACAATCTTAAGGAGATTGTCATACCGTAAGTCATCACTAAATAGTGACTGAAAACTCCTAATATACCGGTATATGCTAGGTAAAGTAGGAATTCATTATGGTGTAATATATTGAGAAGTACCACTCATGAAGTAAAATAACTGGCTTTTATTTTTATGGAGCTGAAACCAAATGAATGTAAAATCTCTTGATCATCTGTCCACTTAGGTATATTTTTACTGTGCAGATGTATGTTTTTCATGCATTTTTTTTTGCCATAATTATTACTCCTTGAATAATTTATCTTTCTAATGTGTTCATGAGTCCAAATCAGCAAATAAATATTTTAGAAACTGAGTGTTTAGATTTTTTCCCTTTGAAAGAAGAAAAAAATCTAAACAAGAACGAATAAGATGTTCTTCAAGGCTTTGTCTGTATTTGATATAGTAAGGTGATGGTATGGTTCCGATCACGTCAGTCCTTGAAGGAGAAGTCAGAAGAGAAGGTGTACTCCCGCTGGGAACAGGATTATAACCTGGCCAACATGCCAGCTCTGGGACTGTTTGATGAATACTTAGAAATGGGTAAGTAATCCTGGGAGCAGGACTATAACCTGGCCAACATGCCGGCTCTAGGACTGTTTGATGAATACTTAGAAATGGGTAATGTTATCTTGTCCTCAGCCTCCTATTTGCTTCCATATTAAGGGTGGGAGAATATATACTGTAAATCACATATTTTTCATGGGTTAAAATTTTTAGGTTCAAAGGAAAGATATTAGTTTGTGGGGATTTGTTTTCGTTGGTTGAGAATGACAAGTACAGTACCGACCAGACCCAACCTGACACAAAGCAGTCCCAGAGCTGTCCCGGGGACTGCTTTCTGGGACTGCTAAAGCAGTCCCACAGCGGTCCCAGAGCATTCCCACACCAGTCCCAGAGCGGTCCCAGCAGTCCCAGCGGTCTCAGAAAGCAGTCCCAGCAGTCCCAGAAAGCAGTCCCAGCAGTCCCAGTGGGCGGGTTTATTAATTTAAAGGGCGGGGCTAACTCAGAAATGAGATTTCCAATAAACAATGGAACTATAAAAGGCAGTTGAATTTTTTTCTGAGTAGTATGCCAGGAATCCTTACAATGTGAAGGTCATTTACATGTATGAGCAGTACCCGCATAGATTTGAAACAATTTGAAATGATATTTATTGAAGGAATAAAGCTTACACACCTACATAAATGAATTACACTGAACATGTATATTTAATCACAATTATCTTGGTTTTTTTGTGATTGATACTGGCTCCCATATTTATTTTCTATACAGAAAATTAAAGTTGAATTAATTATTTTTCACCAGAATTAGTTTTAAATAGATCTATTCATTATACATCATGGCCGATTTCCATACTATCGGGATACTCTAAAGGCATTTTTTAAAAAGTACCCCGGTATATGGGCTTTTGAAAAATCCGATGGCAATTTAGCCAAGTAATATTTTTCAGTATTGATTATTCTTTACTGACATGTTTATTTAAAAATTATTGTTTTATTTGTAAATTGTATTAGTGACCAGTATAGAATCCTAAGATTATGTTCAACATTAATTAATCTTGAAAGAAATTTATACACATTTCATCTATCTTTTTTATGTTTTACATTTTTTACATAGATTGAAATTAGGGTCATTGTTTATTGTGCAGCATGTTCAATGATGTGTAATACTGATACGTGAACCCAAATAACATGCATGATTGATTTTCTGCCCAAAGGCGATTGAAACCACAGGTGTTCATACACATTAATGGCCAGGTAAACAAAACAAAAAAGAAATAAATCACAATTCCAGGTATTACAGGTTTTCAACTGTTTATTAATTTTTTTTTTTAATTTACTCTTTTAATAACTTATTCATAAATTAAAAACTAATTCATCTGTAAATTCCCGTATATTTGTTCAAATTGCTTATGTTACGGAAGAATGGTGGCATAATTTTATTTCATGTCATAAAATAAATTGTTAGATTTTTATTTGAGGGTTGTATCTAATACCCTTTTAGCGTGGTGCTTGTAAAACGTGTAGCCTTTTCAATTAAAATATCTTATATCTAAATGTAATGATTTTTTAAATAGTGCCATATGAAAATTTTGAGTATTTAATTTCAGATTTAATAAGAAAAGAAATCTACATGTAGATATTTTTTCTTATGAGTAGTTTTATATACTTTAGAAATAAAAATCTCCTCCTGACTTCCTTATATATCAACTTTATTTTTTAAAATATTCTTTATTACATTTGTGTAAATATACAGTTCCTAAAACTATAAATTAACTATAAAACATGTAATCTCCAGTTATTAAAAGATTATAAGAAATCCTTGCGTATTAAACAGTTAAAACTCCTCTCTGCTGCAAGTAAACAAAACAATAGGGAGCCTGCAAATTCAGAATACACAAGGGGGCGGAGCTATCATGTCACTCAGAACCTTTGTCACACATCAGTGAACAAAGCAGTCCCAGAAAGCAGTCCCAGGGGCAGCTGGGACTGCTGGGACTGCTTTTCATAGCAGTCCCAGAGCAGTCCCATAGCGGTCCCAGAGCAGTCCCAGAGCAGTCCCAGGGACTGCTTTCTGGGACTGCTTTGGTGTCAGGTTGGGTCTGGTCGGTACTGTAGTAATGCATATAAAATTTCACATTTCGTGGTGGTCATAAATTCTTGGGTGTCCTCATACCTCAAAAACAACGAAAATTAACCCCCCACGAATATTTCACAGCATATCTTTTGTTTGATCTCCAGTTGTGTCAATCTTTTCATAGAATCATAATGGCTTTGTTGATTTTTTGGTTAATTTCTTTTCAGTGATTCAGTATGGCTTTGTGACAATTTTTGTGGCTGCTTTTCCTCTAGCACCTCTGTTTGCACTCATTAACAACATTATAGAGATCCGAGTGGATGCTTACAAGTTCACCACACAGTGGAAGAGACCCTTAGCTGAACGAGCTCAAGATATAGGTAAAGTCAGATTGAACGAGCTCAAGATATAGGTAATGTTGGAATGAATGAGCACAATAAAGATAGAGAAAGACTTGCATTTAGTTCTACATTGAAGTTATTTCTCATTAGGCTGAAGGAAATTGTAAGAAAAAAAATCATAATAATCGGATGTTAGATCCATCTTTGAAGTCAATATATGTTCTTTGATTAAGATTAAATGATACAATCAGTCATGTCATATATTCTCATTTGATAATTAATTGTTCGATAATGTATTTTTAGTTTTTGTGCAATATATTTTTTGTTGAAATACTCATCACTGAATTGTGATTACAATACCGTTCTATTAGAAATTTTAGCGAGGATTTAATTTTGGCATTATTAGCTAGGTTGCCGCGATCGCTAAAATTGAATATCGCTAAAAATTAATTGCATTTTATTTGTTATAGCTTCAGTCTTTAATGTGCATTTTAAAAACACTTAAATCACATCTCGATAAAAATAGATTACCAGTTTTTAAGGACAAATCGCTAAATTTGCGTCTCGCTAAAATTTCCACTTATATGGTATTACTATTAAAAACAAATTTCTTCATAATTCTTATCAATTTTTTTTAATTTTAAAATAAGTAAGTCATGTGATAATTAATTTAATCATGTGATGTAGGTATTATGTGATAATTAATTTAATCATGTGATGTAGGTATTTGGTTTGGAATCTTACGAGGAATCTCAGCTATAGCAGTGGTTTCTAATGTAAGTTACAATCTGTGTACAAATTATGTACGTTATCTATCATTTACTGAACAATGACATGTAAATTAATTTTTAGGATACAAGTATGATAAAGTTTAGAAAAACCCTGCAATTTGTAGATACACAAGTGTAGTTGTATTTTAAGAATAAAAAATATTTTTTTTGAAATTCTAAATTTTGTGTGAGTATGATTATTATTCCAACAAATAGAGAGTGATGAGATTTATTTAATTAAATATTCTCAATAATTCAACTTTATAGGTAATAGTTCTCTTTTTTCATAAAACAAAAATAATCAGAAATTTTGTGTGTGAGAGGGTGTGTGTGTGAGTATGTTGAATTTTTAAATAATAATACTTTTTTCCTTGTTTTTAGGCTGCGATCATTGCGTTTACATCGGAGTTTATCCCTAAGTTGGTCTATTATTATGGCTACAGTAATCAAACACTGTCAGGGTACACCAACTTCAGTCTGTCCGTGTTTAAGGTGCAGTACTTCCAGGACCAAAGTATCCCCGATGACAAGAAAATGGATGTGTTTGGCAACGTTACTGAATGCAGGTGAGTAACAGTGTTTGAATCTCACTGTAAAATTAGCCAGCATTACAGGGCTAATTGCTATAGTTTAAGTTTCTGTGTTCATTATATTTACTTTCATTTTTACTTAAAAGAATAATTACAAGAAATACCCTCAAACCACAAATTGCTCCTAGATAAAATGTTATACATTCCAGGTACCGAGGATTTTTTGCTGAAGACCCCGGCATGCCTGGAGACTATGACTTCACTATGGCGTATTGGCACATCATTGCAGCTAAACTGGCTTTTGTTGTTGTTTTTGAGGTAAGCCCTTGCTCTTTCCTAAAAGAAAAAAAAAACGTTAAGAATTTCCAATAATATTGTTGTACATTTATATATGCTGGTCATTGTGATATTTCTTGAAAATAGAAATGAAAATGAATAAAGCCTGGAATTTTTTTGGCATTCAGCCCCAAAAATATATGTATAACTGAGGAATCCAATGAACCTAAATAATTCCACAGTACATGTAATATTTGTCTTTTAATTCATTAAATCTTGGTCATTTTATATTAATTTTGTGACAGTAAAAATTTATCTGTAATACAAAATTTAGTTGTAATGGCTTCTTTGGTGACCTCTTTATATCTCGAAAATCGCTCTCTAAAAATTTAAAACCCATTTGTAAGCACAGTAAGGACAATTCGCTAAATTTGGGTCTTGCTAAAATTTCCACTTATATGGTATATATATCTTCAGTGATTTTGGCTTTATTATATTTTTTCAGAATTTAATAGTGTTTTGTACATAGCTTGCTATTTTTGTTTTCAGAATTTAGTGGTGTTTTGTACGTGGCTTGTGATGTACCTAATTCCCGACATGCCTTTCAAAGTTAAGTTACAGATGCTCAGAGAAAACTTTTTGGCCAAGGAGGCTTTGTATAATGCTGACACAATCCAGAAACAGAGAGAAGATCGTGCAAAGCAGGAGCATTGAAGTGGTGCAATTATACATTGAATATTTATATTTATGTTCTACTTAAAATCATATACATGTAGTTTATATTTAAGTCTATATTATATACCATGACCAAATTGTTCGAAAAAAAGCTGTATTCTCTGTGTAGGCATTTATAATGTAGCATTCTCATTGGGTTTTGATTTTTTTTAACAGTTTTTTTTTGTTTAATTTTTTTTTGCCTGAGACAAATTATTTTTGTCTATATTGAACAATTTCATGTTTTGAAAGAAACTTTATAACTACTGCTGGTCAATATTTTTGAAGTTGCTGAGCAAATGCAGATGAAACTATTTGATGTGTGATTTGAGGAAATTGAGGCTGAAATGAGAAGTTGATCTTTGAATAGCTAATTACAGTCTATTAACTTGTCTATTTCAAATGCTGTGAATTCCAACATCTTGTCTAATATGATGTAAATATCAAGTCCCTTAAGGTTATTTCATTTGTTTAAAATGTAATCTAATCTGGCCTGTTGCCAAATCCAGCTACATGTAATTTCTTTGGAACTAGGTATTACCGGATTTGGCAAATTTAGTGTTTGGCTTTTAGCATCCAAATCCAGAGATCTTCTATTATTCAAGATCAATCAATTTGTTATCATTCAAGTTTTTTTTAACGAATGAACTCAAGTATTTAATGCAATGTTTGTGTATTTATTCGTGAAACTTACAATTGAAAGAAGAGTTTCCCTGATGTTTATTGAACATTTTTATGAATAACATGTAAATTATGGCTGAGTAGCCTGCCGTTTATATACACTAAAATAAACAATATTGATGTCAAACTCTGCTCTTAAGAAGTGTGACTGAATACGCAATCTCTGGCATATTATGTTGTTGGCAAATTGTTTGTATTATTATTTTTCCTAATTATTTATTTCAACATTGTTAATTTTCAGGTTAGGAAATACAGTTTCTAATTTGATTTTTGTTTATTTTACTGTATTTAAATGTTGTACTTTTTAATGATAATATTGTATGTAATTGTTATTTAATCAGAAATAAGAGCATTATGACATAGAGCTAACTTAATTTCTCTCTTTTCCATTTCTCAAGTGGTAGACAATGCCATTTTTTAAAATAATTAATGAATACCACAAAGTTGCATGTATTGTGTGCAATGGTGTAAAAAAGCACATCTAAAATTAGGGTGAAAAACATTTAAAAAAAAAAAAACATGCAGGTCCTATGTAAAAAGTGTACCCCCAAAATATGCTCAAGTCATTGAAAAAACCCATCTGAAGAACGTTTAGTCCAGATTGAGAAATAACAGATCCATATAAACTTTTAAGATACATTGAGAAAATCTAAAAATGTCCTTTTTTGGGAAAGTAAGACCCAAGGCAGACTTTCACATAAAATATATAATGGTGTCCACAGCAGGGCTATGAATTTGTTTCAACATAGAAGCATCGATATACAGTGAATTGAAATTGTTTTAAAAACGTAGGCTTTATCACCATAGGTGTTTCATTTGTATGCATATAGGTTACATATGTTACATGTAGCAAAGAAGAAAAAGATGATACAAATACTTCTGCTGATATTTTATTGATTTTTTTTTTTCATGGACCATATTTGAAAAGAAAATGAACTTACATTGATATTTTCACTGGTCTTTTGCATTTACTTTGTGTAACATTTTGTGCCTTAATACAAGAATAATGTTAAATGTTACAACTCTTTATACATTTACTTTGAGCAAAATTATTTCTAAACTGATTTCATATTTGGTGCAATATTTTTTCGTAGGTAATTTACACTTACCAGAACTGCATTACCTGTAATAATGTAGCCTTTTCTGATACTTTTTTTTTTATTTCATATGTTCTTGAGCTCTTTCATTAGAAAAAAAAATATGGGAAGTGATACATTATTGCAGCTAGAACTATAAATGTGTGTATCTGTATATGTGGTGTATTTGTAACTTTTGTAATGAAGTACAATCTTTTTTGTATAAGTGTAATTGATATGTGTAATAATATGTAAATATAAATATTAAGATTTATGGTAATGTAATTGATACATTACTTATTCAATGTAGTTGACCATTTGTGTACTTTTGGTAATTCTTTACAATCAATATTATTTATATTTAGCTTGTAGAAGTTCATGATAGAATAATACAAGTTTCAAACAAAAATCATGTATTTGACATTGTTTATAGAATATAAACAATCTTTTTTCAGGGTTCTCCAGCGTTTGAAATTTAACTGTGTTGCAGAGTTTACGTAAAGCACTAAAATTTTTCGGTGTCTTCGCCATAAAAAAATTGCGACTGAATCATTATATATTCTGTATAATAAAAAAAATAACAAGCTAATTCAGAGAATTCCTGTCCCCGCTTAGGGAAAAAGTCAGACCCCCCTCACTGAATTTGTAGAATTATTAAATGTATACATGTATACTGAAGCAACTAAAATACATGTATGTCAATATGCATATAAAGATTTGATTGCTTTTTCTTTATTATGTGTATGGAAGATTCTTTTTATATGGAATATTTATCATACTGTAATAATGATTTTATGAGTTTGTACAAGCCAGACCACATATTTTTTTTTCATTTCACATGCTGAATACTATCATTCAGTTAAAAAAAAGTATTTGGAAAAAAAAGAAAATGGATCTTCCTGGATTCGAACCGGGGAACTCTCGCATGTGAAGTGAGAGACATAGCACTAGACCACGGAACTGTTTTATAGTTGCGAAAATTATATGCAAAGATGAAGTCACATACATGTATTTACATATTTACGTTCGGTATTGTCAAAATTTTACATAATGCATGGTGTCTAATTAAACCTTTATTAAACAATTCTAATGTAATAAGAATATAAAGTCCGCTGAGAACCTGTTTTATAAGTTATAACTCTCCTCATGCCCCTGTGCTAAAAATAGTGACATGTAATACAATAAATACTAATAAAACAAACAGGGCAGGACACTTTGAGAGGGGTGAGAGAGGTCCTAGGTAGTTTTGGTATAAAATTAAATTGCAAAAGCTCAAAATCCTCTTGAAATATCGCCCGGAAAGGATAGTGTTACACACAGATATAATGTATAAGTTTACGACCTTGAACTTTGACCTTTTGACCTCAAAATAAATAGGTTTATTCCTTAGGCCACATGGAGTTGTTATGTAAAATTTCATGGCAAAAGCTCAAAGGTTTTTTGAGGTATCGCGCGGAAACGAAAGTGTTATAAAAGAATTTGCGAATTTACGACCTTGACCTTTGGACCTCAAAATTAATATGGAGTTGATATGCAAACATTGCGAAAGCTCAAAGGGTTCTCGAGATATTGTGTGGAAACGAAAGTGTTACAGACAGTCAGACAGAATGACAGATGGACAGACGGACAGACCCAAATTAATATATCCCCCACTTTTCAAGCGGGGGGACAATTAAATATGCCAATATAGATACTAGTATGAAGATGTGATTGCTTATTCTTTTGAAATTATTATGTGTATAGAAGATTCTTTTTATATGGAATATTTATCACACTGTAATGATGATTTTATGAGTTTGTACAAGTCAGACCTCATATTTTTTTCATTTCACATGCTGAATACAATCATTTAGTAAAAAAAGTATTTCGTAAAAAGAGAACATGAATCGTTCGGGATTCGAACTCGAGACCTCTCACATGTGAAGCGAGAGACATATCACCAGACCACGGAGCTACTTTACATAGGCGAAAATTATATGCAAAGGTGAAGTCAGATACATGTAAATTTTCACGTTTGATATTGTCAGAATTTTACACAATGCATGGTGTCTAATTTAACCTTTATTAAACAGTTCTAAAAGATGTAATAAGAATATACAGTCCACCGAGAACCTGTTTTATACATATTTACTTTCCTCATGCCCCAGTGCTAAAAATAGCGATATGTAATACAATAAATACTAATTAAAGAAACAGGGGGCACTTTGAGAGGGTTGAGAGAAATCCTAGGGACGTTTGGTATAAAATTACATTGCAAAAGCTCAAAATCTTCGTGAGATATCGCCCGGAAAGGATAGTGTTTCATACAGAGAGAATGTATAAGTTTACGACCTTGAACTTTGACCTTTTGACCTCAAAATCTGTAGGGGTCTTCCTTATGCCACAGAAAGTTGTTATGTAAAATTTGATTGCAAAAGCTCAAAGGGTTCACGAGATATCGCGAGGAAACGAAAGCGTTACAGACAGACAGAAAGACGGACGGACGGAAAGACCCAAATTAATATCCCCTACTTTTCAAGCGGGGGACAACAAAAAAAATTATGCAAATACCAGTTTACCTGTGAAAACGAATTATTTGTCTTCGTTCCTTCATGCTTCAAGTCCGGCGAGGATTTAGGAGATAATTGAAAATGCAAAGTGAAGGTCTTATATACACTGATTAAGTGCTCATCCTTATTAGCTCTTCTGAGCCAAAGGCTCAAAGAGCTAATGCTATGGCCATTTGTGCGGTGTGCGTAAACTTTTTAGAATATGGGCCATAACTCAAGAACCCCTTGGCCAATCAGTACCAAATTTGTTACAGGGTATCCTTGGCCCAAGGGCTACCATTTATACAAAAATAAGGGTTGGGACCCTAAAACAAGGGGAGATACTCAGGAAAACAAAACCAAAAGTACTGGTTGCTAAAAAAATCTTCTCCATAACCACCAGGCAGATTTTCACCAAACTTACATACAAGAATCAGGATATGTCGAAGATTAAAATTTGCACGGGGAATTACCCTGGGGCAAAGGGCGTGGTCTCAAGGTCACTTCAAAGTTGACCTAAATTTACAATTAATAAAAATGTGTATATTTTGCTTACTATAAGGACTAGGATCATCAATTCTTGTAAGTTGATGCATCTTATGACTTCACATCATGTTAACTCAAAAGTAGGTCACGGTGACCTATTTTTTAAATTTTGCGGGGATTTCCTTTCAAATTGATTTGAAGGCATATTTTGGACACTTTAAGGCCTATGATCATCAAACTTTGTCAGTTGATGCATCTTGGGTCCTCGAACAACGTCAACTTAAAAGTAGGTCACTGTGACCTACTTTTTGAACTTTATGACTTATCCATTTAAAAACATTAAACCCCTTATTTCAGACACTGGGAGGTTTAGAATCATCAAATCTTGTACTTTGATGCATCTTGGGACCTTAAAACATACTTATGAAAAAGTAGGTCACTGTGACCTACTTTTTGAGTTGGCTCGCGTAGCGAGCTACTCCCTGTCGACATAACCGTTTCAGAGCTGTAAAATTTTTCACACATTCATCA